AGAGTGCAAACTGCATATCATTCAGATAAATGAACTGTGACCACTGTCTTTTTATAGGTCAACAAATCCTTGAATAGTTGCATCATACGGGAGACTGAAATGTTTTTCTTGTCACATTCTGTCTTGTATGTTTGGATTCCATTGGCCTTTGTGATGTATAATGTGCAAAGTTTATTTTTGATTATTTTTCTATTTTAAAAAATGTAGTGTTTATATAATAATAAGTGCCTTATATATTAGTTTGTAGGTTTCTCCATGTAACTTTAGCATTTATGAAACTGTTACACTCCACTGAAACATAACTTTCACTTGGAATAAGTCTTTATAGTTATTTTTAAAGTATGTCATGTCTTGTCTATGTGCTTTTTCTGGGCCTTTTAAATTTTACTACTTGTGGCTAAATGTTCAGAGGATTAAAATATGAGAAAAAATATTCCCACCCAGAGGGTACATGTTTATATGATTCTTCTGTCATGTTCACTGAAATTGAAAAGGCTGTGTAAGTACCTGTGCTACCATGAAATTGGAGCAGCATTTTCCAACCAGTGTCTTCTTAAAGCTACTTTTTCTTCAGGTGAGGAACATCTACACTAAAATGGTAAATTTTCTTGTAACTGAATGGTAATACCAAAATTTCTTACATAAAAAGGGCAGTAAAATAAACAGTGGTCCTTACGTATTATTAATTGGTGACCTAAGTTGTCTGCCATGTTGGTGTGCATGCAGTCAATCTGTATCTTATCTCCAACAAGAAATCTGTGTCACGTCCTACCTTAGATTAGGTGGGCTTTGGATATGCAATGCTTTCAATGATAATGCTGTCACTTCCCAGCAGGAACTGCTACAGATAAGTTGATTTTGTTGTTTTTATGGACTGATACTAGACTCATCTCAGGAGAACCTTGCATCCTTTGGCAGTGAGTTATGCGGCTCCAGCCAGAAGCTGGAAGTGACAATAGTGTTCAACTTTACCAGTAAACACACTGTATTAGTTACGCCTAACCAAAGCTAGCCCAACGTAAGGCAGAATGTTCTTCCCAGTGCCACTGGCTGCTGGAAATTTGGGTCACCTATTAATATGAAAATACCTAAACAAAACAATACATTACAAGTGTGCATTTACTGTATTACAATACCTGATGTGCAGTTCAACACTCATTAGAGCTTAGACACACTAGCAATCAGCAAACTTGTGAATTATATTTTAGAGACAGAACAGCTGACTCTTAAGAGTAATTAAGAGCACTGTTTCACTACCACAAGTTTATATAGTATTGAATTGGAAGGGACGATACAAATTATGAGTGGATAAGGATTTGAAAAGACATGGTCAAGGCCAATTCAGTTAGCTTCGAAAGACTTTGAATACATGTCTAGAATGCTGCTGTTATACAAACCCTAAGGTAGGGCAGGAAAGTTTTCCTAGTGAAAGCAAATTAAATTCATCTTTAATGGGTTAAATTCACAGATACAGTCAAAAGCCTTAGTCCATAACTCTAACACATAACACCTCTTGGGAAATATTTCCTGAGACCTACTAAATGTTGTTAGATTCTGTTGTCTGGATGATCAAATCCAAGAAGGAATAAAACCTACTTGTGCCATACATTATGAAACATCTGAATGTTCATAAAAGAACTCTGTTTGTCTCACATCTACATTGTACCTTTGTTAACATAGTTCAACTCATGCACCTGGATTCCAACTTGGGTGATCCAAATGTAAAATAACTAACTTCTAGTGAGGGAGTATATATGGGTGGTTTGTTAACATGTAAATTACTGTACATACAGGATAATTTGTCTACCTCTGGTATGCCTGTGTTCATTGTTCTTAACTGTTAACATGCAATAATAAACAGTGTATTATATATAAACTGACAGATACAAACCACGTTTCTTATTCTCCTATGCTAAAGCAGTGAGTAAATGATATGCTGCTATATCATACAATAAAAATTATAGAAATATACATATTACATTAATATAACATTGTCCAATTTCTTGCGGTTCCAGCACAAGAGAAATTACATATTTAAAAAAAACAGTATTTGACACGGTGTAACATGTGTGATTCCCTTGGAAGCATATAAAGAATTAATCGGAAGAATAAATTACCAACGAGTAATGCAGATACTAAGTGATGGAACGTACACAAAACACAGAATGGAGAGTAAACACAGAAGAGAAATATGTACACGTAAAGACAGCATGGATAAAGCTCTATCTTAACAGGAGTCAAGCTGATGTAAATATCAGTGAACAATAACATGTGCAGATGTGCAATAAATTTCTTTAAATGTTATTTATTACTTAGTCAAACGAGCTGAGGTTGCCCTCGGTGGACTAGTGGTTAGCGTGCTCACCACTAGATCCAAGGTTCACGGGTTCAAACCAAACCGAGGTCAAAGGATTTTTAAGGGTGATAAAAATCCATAGCACAACTTCCTTCTTTGTAGGGGAAGTAAAGTAGATTTACAGCATGTAAAAGAACCTTACAAGCATGAACGAGATCTTTCGTAACCAAAATTCAGCGGTCATTTCTCACCCAAGTCTCCTGATTCACCGCTAGATGGCTCTGGCAGTCAGATCAGGACTGAGTAGAAATTGTGCAGAGTCAGTGGACTGGTCACTCACTACTCACAAATGCACACTTCAAAGACTAGGAAACCTCCAAATAGGAGGCGGCAAAGACCCACAAATGGGTTGTAGAGCCAAGAAACAACAACAACAAATGAGCTGAGATAGTTCAACCAGTAAAATGGCTGGCTACAGGCTGTACAACCAGAGGGCTTGATTTTTCTCTTTGGTTCTCTGTTCTTACCTACTGCTGGAGACATCCCAAACTCACATGGGTATTTAGCATTACTTTACAATAACAGTATTTTTGGAAATTATGTTCAAGATTTAATGTTCAGTGATGAAGACAATGACCACTATCACTAAATACAAAATTTGTGTGGTTATTTGACATTTGAGATCCTTGAAAAATGAAGAGAATTTAATTTACCAACATTTATCCTTTTTGTTGATTATGAATAACCATACAACTTAAACCGGGAAACGCTATGGTAGATTTTAATGGAGGAGAACACACCAACACAACTTTTAAAAGCAATACAGGGTTTGTACAAAAATATATGCGTAAAATATAGTGAAGGACAAATCTGAGAACCAATCAACACCATAGAGTAAGACAAGTATGTGGATTATTGCCAGACTTGTTTAACATTTACACTAATAAAGCTATAAAAGAATGGAAAAAAACAGCTAAAATAGCATCCAATTGACCTCTGGGAAAAGAACTGAAACAATACTGAATGTGGATAATCAAGTTATAATATCAAAATCTGAGGACGAGCTACAAAAGGCAGTAAATGAACTACATAAAAATCATTAAATAATATAACATGAAGATATCCTCTTTCAAAAGCTCATGAGAAGGGCCAAAACAGAAATTAAAGGAAAAATTATAGAACAAGTTTCTAATTTTAATTACTTAGGGTATGTAATATAAAATGATGATAAGAATATCAATATAAAGCTACAAAGGTATAATAAAAGGTCACTCTGGGAAACGCATGATAACAGACAAAATTACGAATACATAACATTACTTCTGAAGCTGCTTGTGCTATGGCAGTGAAAACTGAATTATAAACAAGACATGCCCAAAACTGTAAGGCACACAAATGAGGTTCCTGAGACCATTATTAGGCCCTACAAAATTGGACCACCAGAGACATCATGACATTTGTAATAGGTTGAAAGTGAACTACCTAAGAAGACACAAAATTATATCAAAAGAGCTGCTTAGACTACCTGGAAAGAACAGACAGAAGCCATTTACCCACACTAGCTTTTCAATATCAACCCCAGTTTTTGTCGGGGTAATTTTTCTTTTAAGCCTGTAAAACAACATAGCAATTGCATGAAACCTGTAACTTATTTAGCTTTCAATTTGACAGCAAAAATAAATGAACCATTGTAACTAGGTAATCATATGAAATTTAGCAAGGAGATAAATTATAAACTTACCTACAAATTCTGTATGGAATATTGTTTAAATAACAAAATGTTCCCGAAATACTACTTCAATCCATAGCCACATAAAAAATTCATCTGCCCCAACATCCAGACCTAGGCTAAAAGAGGTATTCAAAGTCTCCAAAATCAATCCATGTTAAGTGGGTGACCTCAGACTTGATTATTACATGTGCTACTGTCATATTAGGGTTCTTCTGAGATGTGGTTCATAGCTTGTCACAAGACCTCATTATAATGAGATCCTCAAGTGAGAAGCCAATAACTACATTATGGGATTATGACAAATGCATGCTGCAGTTGAGGCCAAGTGAATCAATTTCAATTTTGTTGTCACCAGTTTTACAACTATCTCATCATGCCTGAAAAGTGCAATTTCCAAGTTACTTGTATTAAGATTCTCAATGAACACAATGCAACTGTTTGAATAGAAAAGTCTTGTCTATAACATTTTATGAACTCTTATGCATGTAATTGTATCACACAGTAAAACATAATTATAGTATGTTACCAGTTTTCAGAAGTCGTCAAGAACCGCAAGTTTGCGTTTCTTATGATTAACAACCATTTCAGCTGCAGTGATAAGACCTGTTCCTGCATTAAGCCAGGCATCTAGTTGTGCTCGAGTCTGATGTCCTTCTCGAAACAATGCCTTTTCCAAAGAATCCAAGCGCTGGATTATTGCTGGGTCTGTTCCAGAATTATGAGCCCAGTCCATTACTTGACGAAATCTCTCCTTGAATGTCTACGATAAAAAGCATGCTTTAACACAGCATCACAATTTTCCTACATTCCTCAACAATTACTCTTTGTATTTTAAATTCACAATGCAATTATTACTTATTCAGCTGGTCAGAAACATATCTGCTTTTATGCAACTTAAGGATTCCTCATCATGTGAATACACAATATGAACAGAAATACAGCTTCTGAATTAATTTATTTTAATAAAAAACAGAAACTACACCAAAAACAATAAGGCAAAATCTGAACTTCCATTTTATCAGATTTTAAATCATTCTCCCACATTTTTCAGTTTCATAAAATCATCCAGTCACTATCCAATTCTCCTGATAGAATACAAATCCATAATTACAGCAGTCAGTGAATGAAATATACAAGATACAAATACTCGTTCATTTGTTGAAGTGTGTGTCAACTGCTTTGTGGATACCTACTACTTTCAAGTAAAATTAACCAGAATATGAAACCCAAACACACAGCTCAATAAAGGTAATCAGATATGCATCATACAAAAGTCAGAATTTTGTATCATTACGATGTTTGCAACTTTTAACATATAAAACATCTTCATACAGAGTGTTCATAATCAGTTCCCATTTAAACTTCACATTCCTAACTTCAAGGTTTCAACAGTTATCACCATCAAATTGAAAGCAAAATATAGACTTCACAGGACTATCAAGTTGTCTACACTCCACAAAAATTGCTTGAACATGTGGTGAATTTTGTGAAGATATATTACCACACATCATTTCAGAACCTTATATGTAAGTGGTGCTATTGTTGGTTCCACCTCTGAAATCTACACAACCCCAATGTTGAAAGAATAAGAAAATTATGAAGAACAGAACATCTAATTCACAAATGTACAGCATATAGCCCAAGGGCTGTGGCTCACAGATCTTTTTTTTACCCACATACACATACTAGTTTCCCTTACAACAGGCTCATGTCAAAACATAATACAGTGCACTTTCCTACTATAAATGAGAGCTAGATCTGTATCTTTCAACGCAGCAAAATATGCAACTGAAGTTAATCACCAATTTTGTTACAATATTAAGGTGTTTTCTCTTAGAGAGTCAAAGTCAAAAGTACATTATTTTGGCCTAAACTTGGTTACAGTATAAAAAACTGGGGTTGGTTGCATACAAGTAACACAGAACTTAATCATCAATCTCAGGCTAAATTGGGTAAGTATTTCAAATCTTGGCCCATACAGATCTGTATGTCAAGCTACATCTATAAAAGTGTTTCATTTGGCCATCATGCTCTTTTCTCGTTTTCGGACGATTTGAGCCAATAAAAATTATCATACAAAAACCTGCAATCCAACCTTTAATGGCAGCAGTGTCATTCAAATCTCTTCATAGATGCTCTACTGACACTGTTGATGCCAGGTCTAAAAGTAACAAGCTGGATAGGTATTCAACAGCATGCTGTTTACATAAAGTTTCATAAAAAAGATCAGTTAATTAGTGTCTATAATATTACTTACAAATCTGAAACAGGACAAATTGATAAATAGTTAAAGCAGCTAATTAACAGAGTTCTGAAGACAAAACTTACCTGTACAAGTACAGATCCAATTACTGCTGAATCTCGATGTTCAAGCCGAGAAAGGTAAGTGCCAAATTCATAAAAGAATAAACCGAACTTGTGAAGATCAACAACACATGCATCCGCTTTCAAAATTTCTCTGCAAACATTAAGAAAAATGTTAGCTTATGTTATTCATGCTGAAAGAAATAAAGCAAAAGAAATTCCATTTTCATAACATCTGATATGGAAGTAGTATAAATAATTTGTTATGATTTACCCTACTCAATTCATGCTTAATGAATCACTATATATGTAGACCACTCATTCCCAATGTGCAAGTTGCAACATCTTTGAAAAGTGACTTAAAAATTTCCAAATACATAATCTGTATACTTATGTAGTTGGATACTGTGCCATGACTAAAAGAAAAAAATTTGCAAACCTCTGGTTTTGCAACAAAATTATGATTCTGACCACTACCTTTAATTTAAGGCTTCCATGTGGATAGAGCATTTGCAAACACAACCTCTAATGTCTGTGTCATCACCATACTGGTATTTTCCAAGAATAAAGTACCACACAAAATTTGGAGTAAAATTATAGTCTTATATATTTCAATTTTCAGGGTTTCAGAAAGATGTGAAGATTAAATATTCCGAACCGAATAAATGAATGTCCATTTCCCACAAACAACCAGCTTCTAACTTCATCATGAAAATCACTTTTATTTTTCCTGTTGTTCCCAAATAGTAGAACTGGACTTATTTTATGAAAGATTAGCTTCCTTCTTGCTTTACAACTTCATAAAACATAACCTCACATATAAAATGGATATTGTCTTAGTTTCTAATAGTTTATGTAAATGTTGCATTGCCTGAAACCAAGATTAGAACCAAATATTGCAGTTTAGTGGTTGGCATTATTGGTTTACATTTGAGAGGACCACATTCAAATTTTATTGAGAAGACTAGTGATCCATTTTGGTTGTTTCACTAAGTCTATCCTCAAAAAATGCTAGACCAGCACATCAAAATAGGGCACACACACTTCCTTCCACATTATCCAATGCTATAAAACCCATGCAGTTGAAAAAGCACCATTAAATAGCAAAGGAATAAGTCAATACAGAACTAGTAAAAGACAATATAAAGAAGACAAGGAATATACAGAATGATACAAATTCTTAACAAAATAAACTCAAATTATAATGTTTATCAGCAAACAGATTTTCAAAAATGTAAATATGTTCTACATTCATTACAACACACATTAAATTGAAAATATGTCATAAAATTCTGCCTTCAGTATAAAAAAGTCTTCCCTCCAATATGCCAGATTCTTCAAATGATAAATTACATTGAATTTTGTAAGTTCTTTAAAAATACTACAAACAAACATATCTTTTAAAAACACATATCCCCATGAATGTAACATTTATCACTGCTATCATGTGGACGTTAAACTTCAATCAGGAATGAAAAATGTCTGGAATGAACCAAAATTACATTTTTAAATATTATGAAGGAATTATACAAAATTTAAAATATGAAGATTTATATTGAGGAAAATGAACATTTATGCCATAAATGAAAACTAAATGATCACAAACAAAAACAGTTAACCATCTCTACAGAAATGAATAACAATGTTCTCTTCAGAACAAACCAAAAGTACACAAGTATAAAAATACCATTCTGAACATGACTATAAAGTCAGAACTAACTTACACCTAATCTGTCAATATAAAATATATATTAATATAATACTTCTACTTTGCCATGGTTTCACAACTAGAGTCTTCCCTTCATGTTATGTAGCAAAACTTTTGATTAATTTCTCATTTTCCTTATGCATCTACACATCTCACCCAACCAACCTTCTTCAGCTAAATACCAATAATATACCTGATATGCTCTGGCATGTTGTACTACTGACCTATAAGCTTCTTTATATATTTTTGGTATCTCAACTGTAACTATGTTGCGCCTTTGAGAGCACAGTGTTTGTGCAAGCCAGAAAGGAAGTTCAATACTAGTTCCTACTGCAATGTCTTCACTTTCAGAAGATGGATCCAGGAAACCTGAAAACAGAGAAGAAATAGAAATTAATCATAAGCACTCAACATGATATTGTAGCATGTGGTATAAACTTGGATTTGGAAGGTGTCTGGCTTTAATGTAACTGTGTTATGGTTATTCATGATCCTCCTCTGTATAGCTAGACAAATGCAAGATGGTACCCTAAAACAGGACATAACTGCCTACTTTAACACTTATTCTTGTTTACCATTCATGATCATCTGTCTTCCATTCTCATCTACTGCAAAATAACCTCTACAGTTAAATTACCCAAAAATCATTTATCACAGGAAGAACTTGTAGGAAACATTTTATCAGAATTAAGTGTGACTTCCTAATTGAAGCAGTGTGTGCAAGGTTTCTAGGCTCACATATTTATGATTACTCTTCGGGTGCCATCCACTCACCTTCTGGTGTCCAAAAGTTACCTGTCAGTTGATGTCTAAGCTGATTTTAAAAATGGATTTACACTGAAGTAAATTATCTATATCCATCATAAGTCTAAATCTTTGTGCAATATGCAGTGTGGATGTGCAGTCAACTGTGCCCTGTAAAGTCTGAACATGCAACAAATGTCTGACTTGAGAGACCAGGGATTGGTTTATTATTATATGTAGTGAAAAGTCACATCAATCCAAAAACAACACAAACATATCCTTTCACTCATCAAAAGCTATAATTCAAACCATCATCAAAAAAAGGAATTACTGAAAGTATACCTACAATTAAATTTTTATGACCATAAATTATCACTAACAGCACAGTTTTCATAACAAGTTGTAACCTAGTGATACCCAGTGGATGAAACAAATTCAGCGCTGAAAGGAAGTCCTATCTTTCTATTTGGAACAGACAAGTAAATGTCCACATGCACATGTGAATACAGATACATACATGAAAGGATGTTTCAGGAGTGGTGTAGAACAGAGGTATTAGTATTAAATTACAATTTGATATCAACTGATCATTTCCCACGTCCCTTAAGAGAAAGAGACAAGAGATAAGGGTCCAAAGTATCTGGGAATACTGGGATTATACTTTATACTTGCTGACTGCATATTAAATACACAAATGTTTAGGGCAGGTCAGATTTGGATAAAGATTTGTGCAACATATTATACACGTAAGGTGCAAATAATATTTTGACGCGTTTATCTTTGGTGCATCCATTCTCTTAAGCCTATCACACACGTTAAAAAGTGCTCAGTTTCCTCACTCTTGAATAATGATAGCAACGTCCAAATAATGACTACGAAAAAGAGGCCTTTTAAACAACCTCACAATCGTACAACAGCATGTTATACACACATCTTTACCTAGACGATGTACAGGAACCACAAACTTGCACGGCAGCCGTTCTTGTGTGGCAAATATGTCTTCAATAGAGAAATAATGAGGAGATAAGCTACGAAACATTACTATATTATTAATTAAAATATGATTATTTTATACGTGCAATTACAACCAAACTACACATTTACACAAACCCACAACGACAGAGATTATAATTATCACAGATGACAAAGAGTAACATTAATGGCTTTCTCATAACAATTGCATTTGCAGGGCAGCTAATAGTGATTATTAAATTGCGCATAATGTGAATATTTTTCTATTTCTTGGGAGTCTCATTGAAGTTCGTTTTCTTAATGTCCTTAGATGTGTTTAGGTTGTCACATATCCTGACATAGTTGTATGGTCGGATAAGCCTAATTGCGGTTGTTGCGCGGTGTCTGATGTAGGAAGTCAGTTCCAGTAAGATCGTCCAAATGTCTCATCAGTATCTACAAAGTGCAAGAATGACGCAATGCCAAAGCATCAATTTAAACTTCTTGGCTCAGCAATGTTTTACGTGCTAGTTTCAGTATTTTATACTCAATGTTATCTATAGTTCTGAGAATACAATCCCCGAGTAACTCCGATGTCCAGCCCTTAGAAATTCAAAGGAGAGAAGGCAAACTCAATCAGAGCCATTTACATCTATATTATATCGGAACAATGCACTCTGGTGGTGCAAACTCGAAGTGAAAAGAGGTTTCAAAAGTGGCCGCAGTTAGAGCGCAGCATGTAAATTATTAACCCATACTTAAGATATGTTTACCGGAAAGTAGTTATAGTGATTATACAGACTGCCTGTGTTGAATATTATTCATTATGACTGCCGTTCGTAAATTCATAGGTATGACCAAGTAATGTATTTTGCGCATACGTCTTTTCAGAGTCATTCGTATCTGAAACATGCTTCATACTGTACAGCCTTGGCTTAGGCCTATGAAGGATCAGTGGAATGAAAATAAATTCCACTCTATTCTAATTAAGGGATTTAATTTCCTCTGTCAGTGTTGATGTTCTGGGTTATAATGCCATGTGGACATGTAGGAAAATAGGGTTTTACAGATACCTGCCAACTCTGTCTCTCATATAAATTTCTAAATTATGATCCTAACTCAAATTGAAAGTGATACTGGAATAATTTCTTAATAAAGTACTAATACCTTTTTCATGGAATCTGAATATGAGTGAATAAAATACTCTCATAGTGAGTGAAACTGTATCTTACAAAGAACACATTTATAATTTTGTATTTGAATGATTGAAGTTAAATATTTCAAATTATGCCTAGCATTTCTTGAGTCCATGTCAAGTATTTTCATTTGTTTAAACATGAATACATCTTGTAGCACTGAAATTTTTCAATGAATTAGATTTACCAATAAATATGCAAATTATTTTAAATGGGGGTTTGAGTAAAATAATAATTTAATGTTTTATTTTATTTCATTATGTTCTGTTTTAACACTAACCAATAGCATAGAATTGTCACTTTATGAACAGAATTCAAGTCCAAAAAGCTGAGTCCAATCGACAAGTAATACTGATAAGACCATTTAAAAGTGGTTTGCGTAAATGTGATGTATGATTTTCTTTCTGCTATTGTAAACAAAGGTTGTACAGACTTAGAGCACTTCCTGTTCGTATGTCATTTAGATATTGGAGTAAATCTGACAGACTCCATGTACAAAGGAATTTATCATGGATCAAAGAAACATGAAGCTGACCTCAAAGCTGTACTTCAAAGAGCATGGGATTCTGGCATGCAGAAAATGATCATCACAGGAGGCAGTTTGGAAGAAAGCAGAGAAGCTCTTCAGCTTGCAAATTCCCATGGTTTATAATTCAGTTAAAATAATATTATCTTATCCCAGTGTTCTGATTGTTATCATCACTTAAGTAACTAATTAAGTGCAACTGATTTCATAGTACAGAGTTTTCTTAATCAGTTTATAGATGACGATGGTTGTCTTCTGGGTTATATCACTGTGTAATCTAGTAGAAGTGTCAAATTTCAGAGGTGTTTACTGCCTTCATCACCATCGGTCATGACATTCTGTGCTCATAGAACCTGAAGGTTCAACACTGTGTTCAAAAATGTGCGCTTCTGGACCCTATTCCATACCAGTTCAACCAAGTCCACTATATAACCCCCCTTTTCCTCCATCTGTTTAAATATCTCTAATCTTTGCTTTGGTCACCCAAGTGATTCTTTCCCAACAAAGTTTTGTGTGCATTTCTCATTTCACCCATTCCATCCTTCTTGATTTTATCACCCCATTAAGTGAAAAGTACAGACTATGTACCTTCTCATTATATAATTTTCCAAAGTCCTTTGTTATTTCATCTCTGTTGGGTCCATATATTTTCCTTGTCCTTTTTGTTCTCAGACATCCACATTCTACCCTCTTCATATGAAGTGACCAAATTTAACACCTATATACATCATCATATTATCATCAGTTTGAGCATGAAATGTAAGTTAGAGAGATTGAATAAATAACTGCCTTAGCTGGGGTTTGATTCCCGGGAGGGTTTTTCTCTTTATCACACCCAATTTGACAGTGCCCACTCAGTGTTCTATGCAGTGTTGGCTCTTTCCCCATTAGTATGAACGTGGCCACTCATCTCCATCTTTAGGCTAATGTACCTCTGTGCCTTACATGTGGTGTGGTTCTGGGGCAAAGTGGTAATTTTACCCTCCTGTCTCCATCTGAGGTTTGTGATGGTAATTGGTATGCTATACCATGCATTTTTTTAATATTACAAACATCACCCTTAGTACACTTTTTTTTCTTATTTACAGCAAGACCCAACATATCAGTCATGGGAACCAAAATTACTTTCACATACCAAAATACTTTGAGGGCTGTGGGGTTTCCACCTCCTCAGGTGGTATTTACTTTTGGCAGCTATGAAATGTCACCAAATGGAGGTCCAAGTTGTTTACATAATGGACAACAGAACTGCAGTTGTGTGCATCTATTTTAAAATACTTTAAATAATTTTATATAGATATTCTGAGTTGACAAAATCAAATAGCAGCCAGTTTAGGAAATGCTTCAGTTCAGAATTTTTTGCTTATATAAAAATTGTAATTAATATCTATTATTTTGTATGGGTGTCGAACTTGATCTCTCATTTGAACAGAAGAGCATAGATTGAGGGTGAGTGTAAATAAAGTGCTGAGGAGAATATTTGTATGCTGAGAGGACAGAGATTATACAATGAAGAGCCTCATAATTTTTACTCACTGTATAAATTTATTAGGGTCATTAAAACAAGGAAGAGTAGATGGGATGGGCATGTACTGTAAATGGGGAAGAAATGCATAGAAACGTTTGGTGGTGAAACATACAGGAAAGAGACCATGTGAAAGATGCAGGTGTGAATGGAAGGATTTAAAAATTAATATTAGAGAGATAGGGTATGAAAGCTTGTAAGTGGACTGAACTGGTAATGAACTTATTGAGTTCCATGGAAGCAGGAATTTGTTGTTTGTCTGATCAGTTGTTAGCTTATCAAGATGAGCAATTTTCAAAGGGAGGCCTTTCCCATGAATTTACTTAGTAACTTAATAGTCAAAACTGTTCTCTACTGTTCACTTCATTCAGGATATTAAAGTATTTATTAGGACTAAATTTTGTAAACACTTTGCATTTTAGAAAAACTATACAGTACTGTGGGCTGTCATCCAAACAGATGTGGTAAGTTTGAGAAATCAGGAGACCCAACATCATATCTTTAGTCTCTCCAAGATCTAGCACAGGAAGGCCAGCATAAAGTGGTAGCAATTGGAGAATGTGGACTAGATTATGATTGACTGGAATTCTGCCCCAAAGAAACACAGATAAAGTATGAAAATACTGGTACTGTAAAGTCAATTTGCTACAGGGATTTGAACTAATACAATAAAACTTTGCTAATCCAGATCCCTTTACAAACATAATCATCAGTCCTAGCTCAGTCAGTACTGCTTTTTGAAGTCTGCCTCTCTTCCATGGTCTGCTGAAGGAAGTGGCTTGACATTTTGGAAACAAGTTCTTCAAGTGTGTCAAGTGAAAGCAAAATATCTTCTGAACCACGCTCATAAATAATGGGAAATGAATGTTAAATGTTCAGGTACGGTGGTTTCAGTAATATATTATGATTATTGGTACTTTTTAGTAAGAGTTTACTAATCCAGATAACCCCTATCCCATCATATATTCCAGATTAGCAAGGTTTTACTGTGCTTACAAACTAAACTTGTATGAAATAATACCATTTGTACACGAAATTTCATGTTTTGATAGGGAAAGTGGAGATTAGAGATAGATAGATATATAGTTCCTGTAACTAAATGGAGCATAGGGCCTCCTTACGGAAGTTTATGGTCTTTAAAGCGTGCATTTTAAGAGTGGTGAGTGACTAGCCCGCTGACTCTGCACTAATTCTACTCACTCCTGATTTGACTGCCAGAGGCATCTAGCAGTGAAGCAGTCTATCAGGAGAGACTTGGGTGAGAAATGGCCGCTGAATTTTGCTTACACATCTCGTATCATGCTCGCAAGTTTCTTTGACATGCCATAAATCTACAACATGGGACCGCTGGCTTTACTTCCCTTCCTAAGGAAGTTGTGCTACAGATTTTTATCACCCTTAAAAATCCATTGACCTCGGCCAGGATTGAACCCGCGAACCTTGGGTCCAGTGGCGAGCACGCTAACCACTAGTCCACCGAGGGCGACAAAGTGGAGAGTACAGTATTCAATTTTCAAAAATTAATAATTGTTATTGTAGAAGTGTTCTTATGATCAGCAGTTAGTTTCCTTAACAAACTTTCTTCCTATTGACAGAACCCTAGTCACTGCTAACATAAAAACCTGCAATTCCATAATCCTGGAACAGTTCTACTCACCTCCCATCTTCATATATTCCTAAGCACTAGCTTAATGACATTGCCCCCAAGTCATTCTTGGTCTTGCAAGTGGCCATTTTCCAAGAGGAATGCTCACCAATAGTAGTGATCTCTGTATGGCATTTAGTTCCTCATTATTAATGTCATAAATTGCAGGTGTTTGACAAAGTCTGTGGAGTAAGAACTGAAGGTTTAACACTATTAGATACAATCCTGAACCAGTTCTACCCACCTCCTCTCCATACAACATATTCCCTAATATTCATCGGATATTATCCTACCATATCCTTTACTGTCATCCTCATGGTCATTTTCCAAATGATTTCTCCATCTGCAGCCTGTTCTGTGTCTTCTGTGGCCCAAGTATACATTTGTAATGTGTCATGCTATCTGATGAAAAACTTTTACTTCATATCAGAATACACATCATGTTGAAGTAGTATACAGCAGTAATTATCACTACGAGCAACTGTTTAGCTTAATGAAGAATGTAAAATCAAGAACAAGGGTGTCACACCGATGAACATTTGGAGGGATGCACATGCATTGCAGTGACAGAAACTGAACAAGATATTGTAATATTACTCAAACAAAAGCAATGTCAAACTGAAAGATAGTTGAGTTAATATGTGAACCCATTTTCAATATTAGGCCTAATTTAATAGCATTTTTAAGAACAGCCTGCAGGTCAATAAGAAAGGGTAAATGTGGCTGCAGGTTTGCAAAAGGTTCATAACACCTAAATTAGAATTTTGGAAACTAGACTGGAAGTTAACAGTTCCTTTTTCAATGCCAGGATCTGGAATGCAGGGAACTATCTTCTCCAGCTTCATAATGTAAGGCTTAGACAAAGGGGTAATTTTATCATACTCATACTTGCATCAACAACCTGATTTTCGATTTTTTAAATTATTATTACATTTTCAAATTATTGTCCATTATCTGTATTATTGAAGATGGTTGTAGCACCATGTAGTCTACCAGACTGCATGGCGCTACAACCCAGAGAACAGCCATCTTCAAACTCACCACTGAAAACCTCAAATCTGGTGCCTTGAAGGACCTCTGTCTACTCTCATATGGGAGATTTCTGAATCTGTTCAGACATTTGGTAGGACTCCTTATACAAATGATCAGCCCATTGCAAGGCTTATTATACCTATTCAGGACAGCATAACATAAAGATGCAGACAAACATCCATGTCTTGAGTGGGATTCTGACCCACAGTCCTGGTGTCTGAGCGATGAAGGCTCACCCCAGAATGCACAGCCACTGTGACCTGTTATTATTTTCTCCATTTTATTTCAACAGTCTTATTTTGCTGATGAGCATTCTGTGATAAGAAACTGCCTTTATGCTAATACTATAACATCTTACAGGTATTTTGAACATCAGCTCACACTGTATGAGACCTTGAAGCTGCCTCTGTTCCTGCATTGTCGCAATGCTGCCTCAGATCTGGTGAATATTCTGTCCAGGAACAGGGACCTACTGAATGGAGGGGTAGTGCATTCTTTTGATGGTTCTGAAGAAGACATGAAATCCCTACTGGGATTAGGTTACTATATTGGTATCAATGGTTGGTAAGTACTGGAACAAATTAATATGACAATATTTGGTTCTATCACTGCAATGAACACAATGGATTATAGGTAAGGATTTGGAAGGAGGATGCCATTCAAGGATAGTGCTCTTCCAGATTGACAGTGAATACTCTTCTACGTTATGACCAACATTGAGGAGAAATGTTGGTAACCACCTACAATATTACACCAAAAACAAAGAAAATAAGAGTGGACAATGTCACCACTATGAGAACCTCAGGTCTCATATGGAATACACATATTCTTTAAATAGGCTTTGATGTTCATATGCTACATATAATTTATTCTTGCAAAGCTAATTATACTTTCTACAGAAACTATTTTTGTATTTTAATTCCTATTATGTCCACACCATTGTATCAAGTTGTATAATATATTTCATTATCCATCAGATAAAAACTCAAATTTTACACGCACATCATATGAGTTGATGTTTTAAAAATTATGGGAACATATTACCCAAAACATGTTTTGGCATTACTCCCATCATCAGGGGTAGCATCACTCTATTACTGACCATACTGAATGTTTCAAATAAAATTTTAGAACTTTATTATATGTAGTGAGCTGTTTCTGAGAAAACTGAAGTCTGATTTCAGGTTCATGCAAAGTATTGTTCATATTAAATTGACATGACACATAATTAAATTAACTGGTCACTTTTTATTACGAACCCCCAACACCAAATTTCATTAATATTGTTTTCATTAGTCTTGGATATGAAACAGGCAGATGGATGGTCATGGCATCCTTATATGCTTACCCTTTGTGTACTTTGTGCAAAGAATAAATAAACCCAATCTTCCAAGAATACCATGCATTTTTCTTGCAAGTTGCTGATCTGTAGTGAGTAATATAATTTTCATCACCTGCCAACATTGGTCTCATTTTATGAAATTCACATCCTTGTTAGCAATATTTGACTGACATATGTATTGTTACAAAATTAACAGACCACAAAAAAGTGTGGTAGTTGACAGACTGATATTGTCATTTTTTCTAACAGTTCACTGAAAACTTCAGATAATCTTCAAGTCGTTGCAAAGATTCCAAATGATCGTCTGATGCTCGAGACAGACTGTCCCTGGTGTGAAGTGCGCCCCACACATGCTGGTGCCAAATTAATTAAAACAACATTTCGAACTGTCAGGAAAGAAAAGTGGCAAGCAGGCAGCATGGTGAAGGGAAGAAATGAACCAGCAAATATAGTGTAAGTTTTAGGGACAATATTATTGAGAGATTAGAAGTGTTCACAAGATTAACAAATATTATGTTTGTTACTTGCAGACATATACTGGAGATAGTGGCTGGTGTGAAAGAAGAAGATATGGAAGAGTTATGCAACACAGTGTACCAAAATACCATGAAATTATTTTTTCCAGATTGTCATTAAGGTAATAGATGCTGTTCATCATCTGGAAATGAACCAACAATTTTGTTATGTAACATTTAAAAAGCCTAATTAAATAAATTAAGAATCTATCAGTTTTCTTCTATTATCTTTACCTTTTCCAGAATGTTTTGCCTGTTATACATATCCCTAATAATCTTGATTTCTAAACTTCTTTCATTGTGGTCAATTAGCAGCTTGTACATCTCACATGAAATACCTTTGGTTTTTGTCCTACATCCATTTGACTTTGAGCCATTTAAAATTTTCACCATCCTGTCACTGGGTATGCTAGTGGTGGAGCTACTGTGTAAATGCCTCCAAATGTTTGATTTATTTCTCCAGGGTTGTCTCCATTACCTTTTAACGCCATCACACTGTACCTTGCAAGATGAAGTTACTCTGCCCATGTTCAAGCAGTCTGGCCTGTGCATCAACACATATCAGGGCTATGATCTTAGTGGAAATAAACTCTATAAGAGATCACAGTTAACAAGGTATCCTCTATGACAGGGGTACTCACCATTCTTTGCTGGCATACCACTAACCAAATGCATTCAGGGAAAACTTATTTATGTGAATATCATCTTTTTATTTTCTCACTTAGTTCGTGTACCACTCTACAATTGCTTGAGAAACGCTGCTCTAGGATATACAATTTAACATATCAGTATTCCAAAAAGGCAATGAACTGTATATATGAACAGAATTTCTTGACTTCCCAAGAGAATAAACTGTTCCACTTACCTTCCAAATTGATATAAATAGCATAAAAAACAGTGTTTATAAGGAAAAACTTTCATTAGAAAACTCAGAATACAATATTAAAAAGTAGTATAAACAAAAATATAATTTAATTAATTCAATATAATTATGTAACTCTGAGTTAATTTATTATTTTTTACATGTACATAAAATGATACACTTAAATGACAAAACTGTATGCAGCACAGTTACAATAATATTTAATTACATACACCTTGTTTTAGTTCCTAACATACAGCACAACCTACATGTTCCCAACAAATTTATCACTTTAAAATCATGCAAACAAAAGACATACAAAATCAAAACTATATCTATCCAAATATATTTTATTCTTACAACCTGTTTTAAATTTCAGAAATAAGACTGAAGACCACTAAATTTTTAACAATCAAACAGTCCCACCTCACTCACTCACTGAACTTTTGATAATGTCTGCACTTTCTGACACACCCAATCATATGTCCATACAGCATAAACCTGTGTGGTGTTCAGCGCTTCCATCGAGTATTTCTGAAGATTCTCTGGAGACAAGTTACCACTGCAATATAGATGAAAATTACAGGTATTTATTCTTTCACATTCCAATATGTATCAATTACTATTACAGTACAATAATTCAAATTGCACAACCGACAAAACTTCAATGTGACAGAAAGTAATTTTGAGCTTACATACAACATAACACAAAGTGCCACAGTTGTATAAAATGAGAAGAGGAATTAAACAAAGTGGCTCCAGTAATTACTGCATATTTCTCAATGAATTAATTTACACTTACACAAAGACATTAGTTTTGAACCACTCTAGTCCTATGTATGAGTACCGAAGAAAAAACTGCCTCAGGATTAAAGCGCTCTGCTTGGCTAATTCCCAGGCTTCAATGGAATGTACCTTCACTTTATCCAATAACCCTGGGGCATAGTGGTTGATCTGGAAGAAAAAGAAATGAAAGAATACATTACATCAATACCTGAATAGATATTTGTATAGTAAGTAAAATGTTTTATAAATAGTGGTAACAAAGCCTGAGAGTTCATTGTTGCTAATACTAAAATTTTCCACTCCTTCCAGTTCACAACATATTACTCAAATGTCCTTCCATCTCGGTCTTTGAAGTGGCTACCTTCCAAAAGGTTTCTATACATATTTGTTTTACATGTCAAACAAAAGTTATGCATCCAATCCATTGTAACTACTTAGATTTAGGAACCTTAACAAATGAGTGGTATAAATCATGAAAATTCCTCCTTTGAGTCATCAATGTGCACTATAATAATTGATATGTGCATATAAAGAGAAATGGGAAAAGAACTAAAAGAAAATGCATGAGTACCCATACAAAATAAACATTCAAGATTAATTATCCACAGAAACACTGAAATTCAGTAAGGCAATACATATGCAGTGGCTAGGAATAAATTCAAGTGACTTACAAATTTGATAACTGCAGGAGTCTTTTCCTCAACATACGCATGAACATTTTCGTACATGGTGTGTAACTGATGACCTACCACCAAGCAAACATCCCATGCCAATTCCAGATATGGCCTGGCATGGTCACCAGCTATCTTGCAATAAAGTGGAATATTTGCTTCAGCCCAACTGTAAAGACAGAAATTTATGTTCACTCACAAAATGTTACACTGCAGAGTGTAAAATCAGGGCTTCATTGTATAACACCAGCATGGCAGTGATCAATTTGTGATTTATACCTGCATCATCATCACCTTCACTTCAGTTAAAATTTGAACACTAATCCTTTTAAACCTACCAGTAACTATAGGTATCACCTGCTTTGATAACAAATCAATAACTCTGAATTTTGACTATATTATATATTTATGGTTTTCAAGACACTCAGAATACACAGCTGTGTGTGTGTGTGTGTGTATGTATGTTACAAATTTTCAAGTTAAATAAATCAGTAAATTTGTTTTGCACAAACAGGTATGAACTAACTGTAACTTGTAGAAAATAAAACAAAAATATCAGTATTACATAAAGAATGTATAATATGACTACATTAAACAGATTTTCTCGAAAGAACATGTAAATTCTGAAATCCGTACATCAAATCCTCTTAATTCAGAATGGACTTTTACACTTACCGGAAAGATTTATCTGAATAAAATTTTGTTTTTGCCCATGCATGTTCACCATACTGGAGAGCACCAATGTCATTCAGAAAGCGACCTGAACTTGATGCTGGAACAAAAAAAAAAGTTGTCAGTGGAACCACGGTTCCGGAGAATTTGACGTAAATACGTCTATACGGAAAGGAAGTTTATATATTGGCTTTATTCTAAATATTTCCTTTATACATGCTTTACAATTGAGATAAGTTTGATTACGACATTGATTATTCAACTTCAATTAGTTAAGCTTAAAATGGGTCTGTGGTAGATGAATGTAAGGTTATTATTATTA